GGAGTATCTGGGGAGCTGGAAGATGAGAACTGGCGACTTTGTAGTACAACTTTAGTACGCGGAGCAATCTGTGGAGCTGGACGCTGAGAACTGGTGACTTTGCAGTGCAACTTTAGTACGCGGATGAGTCATCTCTCGCGGCTGAGTCATCTCTCGCAGCTGCTCTGGCGCCCCTGCAGCTGAGTCATGTCTCCCGACCACCCGGCTCTCTTAAAAGGTTGACACACACACAGAGACCCACGCACTGCCTCAACTTACTCGGAGACACACACACACAGACAGAGACTCATACACACACAGACATAGATACACACACACACAGAGACCCACACACTGCCTCAACTCACTCGACTTAACACTTCACACTGAACACTTAACAGATAACTCACACTCTGACTTCCTACGTGATGAAAAATGCTTTCGGGCCACTCGTCGTCTAGTTGTGAAATGTTCTTCGGATATTGGAACAATAACAAAGGTCCAATGTTAGCAGTCATTCATTCACAAGGTGGGTTGGCCAATTGTTATTCGGGGCCTTTGCTTCTTCAAGAAAGCAACTTTCATCATGCTGTTTGTATGACCAATAAACATCGAAAGTGCAAGCACGGGCCGTGGACTCTTTCATGAACTTGTTCAACCTGAGTAATCTGTTTTGAACACCTGTTCCAGCATCTTCCATACACGTGGAAGAGAATCAATCGAAGCTAAAGTTGAAAAGCTAAAGTTGAAGTAGTGTTGATTTAAATTGGAAAAATCGGAGCAAAACTACAACTTTCTCATTACCAAACAAGCTATCCGATCTATCCATATCAAAGACCCCTCACCGACCCTGCTCTTCCCGTTCCACCTCGTCACCGGTGAAAACGAGGCACAGTTTGGTGCCTGTCCCAATGGATGAGAAGTCGATGCCAGGAGCCCCTAGTAGTCCTTGCTCCGTTCGTAGCAATGCCCTTTGCCCTTTGCTCCGTTCGTAGCGTCGTTGCTCCGTTCGTAGTAAGGCCAGGAGCCCCGATCGTAGCTTCTTGTTACTAGTAGCGAACGAACAAACCCATTGATGTTGGGTCTATATCCTATTGGCCCAGTGGATGATGATAGTAAAGGCCTAGTGTGAGAGACACATCATGACACATCTACCAGTGAAAAAAATTAGCGCGCTTGACTTGGGCCAGAATCCCAATGAATCGTACGAGAGCAACAGCACAGGAAGCTTATGATCGCTGGTTCAGTTCCAAAAGCAACATGTGTCACTTCATCGTCACGAACGTCGCAAACTCTCAACAAACCATGCCGTGCCGGCCTTCCATTGGCATGTGGTCACATCAGCACTTACGGTGCACCTGGCGCCACGCTCAGCTGGCCAAAGCACTTGCGCTTCGTGGGTGGTCAGCTGCACTCTTTCCTTCTACATTTGGGGGCAATTATACTTTACTTTTGAGTACTTTGAAGCAGCAAAACAAAAGCAACAACTCTTGCCTTCTACCTTTGATGGTACTCTTAAGCAATACATCATACTTTCCTTTAACTTGCAAACCCGGAGTGTGACCCTGCTATGCTTCCCCAAAGCAGACGTCTTCCGACGCCTTCTTCCCCTTCTTCTGCACCCATCATGGCGCCAAGCTTTTGCGCACCACACTTTCGAGGCGCGTTTGAAGCCGTCAGCCATCCGTTCTTCCCAGTGCTTCCCACTTACAAACGAAAGTGCATCTCATCCTATTCCCCAAATGCTGAGGGTTCCCTTCCGGCTTTAAGAAGGTTGTGTCGCGACACTCTAGACCTGCCAGCCACGGGCCTATACTTGATCATTGCCCTAGAGCCCTAGGGCCGTTCAAGCCCCCAGGCGAAGGCAAAGCCTCAACCGCATCCTTCGGATTGGAAGGCATCCGCATGGATCGTCGTGTCAGCATATATCATATATATGTCTCTTTTCCTGATTGAGCCCGAACCTTTTGAAATTTGCAAGGCCCACACCTTTTGAAACCTCGAAACCGAAATCATGATTTCTGCATTCGCCCGACGTCTTGATTGAAGGAATTTACGTTCGCCTCGACACCATGGCTCCTAGGGAGCAAACGGTTAAACCAAAAATGAGAGCTTTCAAGTATATCAATCCTCGGTTTCACCATGGTTCCAACAAGGATCAATTGAACAAATCCTATAAGCTGTGTGTGTCTTGATCATCCCGTAAGAGCTCCGGTGGAGTGCTCTGGTGGTGTCCCCAAAAGATGCCTCGTCGGAGGGAAAGGGGGGCAAACATCGAACAGCGGTGTGACATAAGTCAAAACATAGGGACGGTTGGCCTATCGAAGTGCCACCCAAATCATGAGGCATATGTATTCAGTATATTTATGAATACACGCGCACAGTTTTTCGCTGTGTGGATGGAACGTTTTCCTTTAAATTGATCTTGCGTGAAACTAATTTCTGTAGAGAAGCCCAAGCGCCGCAAGGCTTGGGAGTGTACTTTAAACTTGAAACATTTCGGCTAATAGTGCCCCAGCCACACGATGTCGAACCTGAGCGGCATGGGCCCCGCAGGGACCGGCGCTGCCGCTGGCCACCTGGCACGTTGAATCCACAAGGCGGTACAGTAGGGATTTAGGGACTGAAAAAGAGGCCAGCTCAGATCATGTTTGGCTCCGAAGTGAAAAGCCTTCGAAAAAGCTGCTTCTTCCCCTTCCAATTCTTCTTCCTCTCCGCTTCGCGCGCCGGTTTTGGATGCCTGGCGTCTGGATGCCACACTGGCAGCTCCGGGACGGGCACCGGCGCCGGGGCGGCGTACCCGGAGAAGGGAGCACCTGGTCGAGTGTGGAAGAGATTCACGGGTGTTGTTCAAACAAAAATGCGTTTCGAAGAAGAAGAAGAAAAAGAAAAAGAAGAAGACCATGGGTCTTGAAAAAGTCAAAAGACATATTCAAAAAAATCCCACCCATCCAAAGCAGGAGGTGATTGCTTCACCAATTTGAAGAGCTTCACAGATCAGTTTGAGGAAGCAGTAGGAACAAAAAGGAGCTGTCATTGGATTCTGGACCCTGTCAGTGATGGAGGAAATACTATTAGATTATTGAAGTAGTGTTGGCGCCCAACACATCTTGGATCTATGGCCAGGCCACAGGCAGGCAGACAGACAGACAGACAGCCAGACATGCAGCCAGGCAGGCAGACAGACAGACAGACAGGGACAGACAAGGACAGACAAGGACAGACAGGCAGGCAGGCAGACAGGCAGACAGGCAGACAGACAGAGAGAGAGAGAGAGAGAGACAGAGAGAGACAGACAGAGAAAGACAGACAGAGAGAGACAGACAGAGAGAGACAGGAGACAGAGATACAGAGAGACAGACAGACAGACAGCCAGCCAGCGAGCCAGGCAGACAGACAGACAGACA